TCTTATATGTAAAAGTTTGCGAGAAACACGATGGTGCCACTGGTTTACTCTGAAATAAACTCCCAAGCTCGTAAAAAGCTCTCAAGTTGAGGCCAAAATGGAGGGGATATCCCACGCTGTCCTGAGAGTCCACCTCTGTATGAAGACAAATTCTCCATGCAAAGATAGGGAGCAAATACATTAGCAGTGATGCCGTGTTTTCAGTTTTAGAGTCCCCAAATAAAGTGGAAGCCCTGTCAATGTATTTGCTCCCTATTTCCGCATGGAGAGTTTGTCTTGATGTAGATGTGGACTCTCAGGATAGCGTGGGATATCCCCTCCATTTTGGCCTCAACTTGAGAACTTTTTTCGAGCTTGGGAGAAGATTTCAGAGAAAACCAGTGGCACTATTGTGTTTCTCGCGAACTTTTGCATAAGAATCAATGGTCAAATCGCAAATCCCTCACACATGCAACATCTCCATTCACGATCGGTAAAATGAAATTTGGCAAAGGCTGAAGACTCATACGGCGTTTTTCTTCAGCGAGGCTGAGTAGCGCACTATGCGCCGCGCCGCACGCGCTGCCCAGGTTCGACGTCCGGCCTCCTATAATGGGATGAGTGGATAGGGTTACGTCTTCACGTCCGTGAGTTGATACGGTTACGTCTGCCGTCGGGTCAGGTTGGCTCAGAGTGACAGGTGGTGTGTGGAAGAGAGGGGCAGGGTTTAGTCGCGGCGCGGCGCGGCGGTGTCTCATCCCGTGAAAATGATCACCCACCAGATTTCAACTAAACCAGGGTGTGCACTGGTCCGGAAAGTCCGGAAATAGTACTGATTTTCAAGAGGCGGTTGGAAGCACTGAAAAAGTATGGGAAATCCCGCAAGAGGGTCCGGAATTTTCTTCGCCTCATTCCACGCGTGATTTTACGATAGCCTGGAAAGTGGAAAGTATGTAATGATTCTTCTTATTAGTGCAGTAATCGTTCGCTAAATTGCGTTTGTGCATGCAGCCAGTGTATGCTCAGGCCAGTAATGAGTTTCGAATTTTAGGACTTGGTCATTTTTGTCACGATTTGTACGTGAAATTTGGAATCTTGCTGTCTCTTAAGATAGGTATACTGAAATAGTACTGAATTTTTCCTGTCGAGGGGGTCCTGAATCCTTTGGAAAGCACTGACAAAATGTTGTAAGAGCACTGATTTTTTGTAGTAACAGCACTGATAGTAGACCCTGTACATACAAATCGCTTCAATGTACGCCAGAAGGTCCTTGGCATCCGCTAAAGCACTTGGTGCCGTATATTTTGGGAATTTTTCAACCTGATACGAGATTGGTTTACGTGCCCCGTAAGAGACGGTGCAAGGGACATCCCAGAGCTAAAAAAACACTCACAAAAGAACCTTCGAAAAATTTGAAAAGTTTAGAGTCTCTCTTATAGCATTTTGAGTATGTTCAGTGCTTCCCGTCATCTTGTGAACTCAAAATGAAATCAATAATTGAAGCAAAGAATTCACAACCCCTCTTTTTCCTCTGTAGGCAGTGATTCTTTTTGTATTATTACATTTTAATGGCCTCATTTGATCTATTTTAAAAGAATTATCACTTCCATGCTTCTAAAATTTTATTCGTTGCATTTCCCACCAATCGGAGTGAACCCAAAGAGTTTATTTGGATAAATCTTTCCGAGGCAACAAATAAAAACTAAGTAAAAATCACCAACAGAACGTTAAAAATTCGTCATTTTACGCAAAAGAATTACTTTCAGATTGCGATTTTTCAAGTGATACATTACCTTTTCGAATGAAAACATAAAAAAGTTGCAAGATGTCAGAGAAAACGTAAGTTATGCACTGCATAAGGCACGGTAGAGCCCGTTTCAATTTACTTTTCCTCTTTCGCAGGGAACGTTCCTTCCCTATCCAGCGCAAGCGCAGTGGCGTGGCGTGCTTTGCGATTTATCGATCGATCTGCCATTTAAACCCATGGAGAAGGATCGATTACAAGGTGTTCGCAACGAACACCTTAACAATCGATTATTTACAATAGCTTAAAATGGGGAAATATCGATAATCGATCATTCACGTCTCGCCACTGATCCTGCGCACATGTCGAAAGAGGAAAAGCGACGTGAAATGGACTTTATCTACCAATAGACACAAAAAGTCGTTATTGGTTCCATTAAATCTCATGCAGCGGTGTAATTTTGTGTTCATCAACTATAAATTCTATACTAATAAAGCAGACTTCACGTTGATTGACTCACTCACTGACTGACTGACTGACTGACTGACTCACGTATCAGCGGATCTCGTGAACGGGAGGCCGTGTGACCCTGAGATTCCGCACTGGGATCCCTCTCTACCCCGAGGCGCCGGATAAGGGAGGATTTCGCGATCCGCCCGCCGGTTCGCGGGATATCGCGGTCCGCGTGGGTCGATTTTCCCGTAAGGACAACGGGTGTGAGAGAGAGTGCGAGCGAGATGGAGCGATTTCCGCGTTTCGCGCTGAAAGACAGCTGATAAATTTTACGTGTGTTCCTTTGGTACGCGCAACGGGTGCGAGGAAGATGGAAGGGGTTAAGCGTCCAACGAGTGCGAGGAAGATGGAACGAGTTCGGCGTCGCGCTTTTGGAAACGCCGCGCCATGATTGTTGCGAGCTCCGACTCGTGCATCCGTTGCCGGGCTACTCTCTCAGGGACGTGAAAATCTGGAAAATCTGTCTATGCATCGGCATAGAATAAAGAGACTGGCGTAGTCTCTTCATTCTACGGCATTGGTTCGCGATTTTCGCGATTGGTTCGCGCATTGGCTCGAGTGCCCTTCCGTTTTTTTTTTTTTTTTGCAAGATTAGTGAAAAATGTGCTCCGCGGAACCGTTCGTTTCGTTTTGTTTTGTTTTGTTTTTTTTGAAAAAATTTACCTGCTCAAGTTCGAAAGTAAAAAAAATTTTGTGATTTAGTCTTCACGTCGCCTGGGGTTACTTTTTGTTACTTTTATCTTGTTTTGAAATGATTAAGGCAAATTCTCGGGAAATTTTGAGAGAAGCTGTTGCTTGGCTTCATTAATAAAATGAATAAATAAAAATGGAACATAAAGACGGTGTGCAACGCTTCAATCGGAGGAGAAGCGGGGGTTTCGCGCGCATTTCATCAATATTTGACTCCGATCGTGGAACCGAAACACATGAGTCTTACTTGCAAAATTTTAAATCATCGCTAATGCTCTTTTTTTTTCTTTTCTTTTTTTTAATTTGAAAACATTAAATCTTATATAGGGAAACCGATGGTTACATCCCATAGTTCTCGTGGAATTTAGATTGGATTCTTCCAATTCGTCACTTTTAACAAGCAGAATTGAAGCGGGCAACTATTTGAACTCCGGAGTAGGTATGTGGTATCATACAAAATTGAAGGAAAATCATACGTTTTCGCCCATCTCAAGTAACAGATGTTTATGAGTTTTATACGTAGTCTTAATTGAGTCAGAAATTCGCGTGTATGCCACGATATTGATGTGAATAACGCGCGATTGTAATGATCTTAAAAATTCGCTAGGAACACGACGTATTTGCCGTGATACCGTGGTGATTATCGTGTCATTTCTAATTTGTTTTACAAAATCCCTGGAAAAATCAAGTTTTCTCCGCGATGTAGATGACAAACCCGCCATTGCTGTGAATTAAACGAAACCGCTGGCTAAATCCCGTAATTTTCGCGGCTGAAACTCACCAGAAAACTTCAATTGAACATTGAACTGACAAAAGTAACAAATCTTCATGAAAATAACCAACTTTTGATTGGGTATTTTTTATTATTATAATTATCATGTGAGCTTATTGCAGAACGGACCAAAATAGCAGCATACTACTAATCTCTACTTTTTAATCAAACCAGTGCGTCTCGCCAATTTTGAAATAGTAGATAATAATTCAGAAACACAATTAGTAACTGATCACTAATCACAGTGATTGCTGATGGTGGGGTTTTCCTGTGCGTAGCACGGGTTTCCTGCTAGTCTATACTATAAGCTCCGAGACCTCCGTTCCGTTTTGTTTCAGTCTTTAAGGAAATATGAAGTATATGACGATTTTCTTACTCGATTCTTATTGGTCCAATCGCTCCCGCCCAGAGGGAGATTGGACATATGAGAGTCGGGTATGAAAATATTTTCATTTTTTTGGTTGTCCTTTTGTCAACGCTGGCCTAGGAGAACGCGAAGCGCCCCTGGGGGCTGGGGGCATATTAGATAACTTGTCACGCTTCCCGGTATGTTTGTTGCCTACGACAAAATTCAAGGCGAACCTTTAAGGAGACGATACCCGTCAATAACTTTACGCAGGTTTTATTAGTATGTGTAGCGAGATTAATGCATGTTTTTCGGATAGATTTGCTCCTGCGGCAAAATTGAAGACGAACTTCAGATGAATAAATATTCTCATAACTCTTACAGGGAGGGAGGTTTGAAAGAAATAATTTACTAGTTTTGACTATATGTATTATGTGAATTTCGAAAAACGATCAGGGTAAAAACAAATTCTATATCACAGACAACAGGAACATTATTATAGGGATGACAAGATTTAACAACCAATGAGTTGAACCATGCGAAGAGATATAATGATTAAATATGGCAAGTTCGCACCCTTAAAAGTTAGGCATTTACAAAGATCGATTTTTGGTTCAATCTTATGCATAAGGGGAGAGATTTATTCATTAATGGCCAAGATATTGCCCGCAAAATGTTGACTAAAATGAATAGGTATTTGTATTGCCAATCTTCTCCTCTTATTACATCATCGTCTTACCCGCTAAAAATATTTATCGACAATTTTTTTTATTTTATATTAATTTAACTTATGTGAACTTCAGTTTTAATTCATGAAGCGGAACATTTTACATAATAAATATGTGAACTATAAAAAAATGATTGTCTTAAACAAACCAAAAACTCGTATCTTAGACCCTTCCCCTATCTTCTTTAACACTTTAAACGGAAGCTTATGATTCACCGAAGGAGTTAGCGCATTCAATAATAAAATATGACAGTTATTGAAGAATCATTGATCACCGAAGACGTAGGTACAGCTGAATCTTTTAAGGGACTAAAATTTACTCGGAAGGGGCACAATTCGTTTATTAGGGATAGATCTTCAATAAATTGCCATCGCCGCGAAGTGACACCCTAAAGGCAAGGGATGGATAGCGGCTAAAGATAATGCGGAGAGTCAGCCAGCTGATTATTGAACTTTAAAGATAAAGAAAATTGAGCGATCCGATTGGTGGAAGCGAGTAGTTGGAATGGACAAACGAAGGATGGAAGACTCGCAATTTGTGCCGAGCACTTGTTTGCGCTTTCCGGCGCTTAAGAGAGGGAGAGATTGCAGTGGACGCGGTTTTCTGGGTATAAATTACCCCAGCCGTGATGTTTCATGGCCGACTTTTCAGGGCCGGAGCTAGTTGTAAGTTTGGTCGGCTTCAGTCTTGGTTCTGGGCAGTCGGCCATGCGTTTTACGGAGATCTAGATCGCCGAGTGAGGTCCAACGATCTTAGTGCTCAGAGTGAACCGGGACCCATTCAGTTGCAAATGAGCTTTTGAGCATTTTGAGTTTGTGTCGTGGATCGTTTGTATCCATTTAGTTCATAAGAAATAAAGTATCGCACAGTACTTCTCGAGTTGTGGTCACTCTATCAAGAGCTCTGCTGCTACGTCCCCCATGCCAGGCAGCTCCAAGGATTCTGGACTCATCACCATCTTATTTTGGGTTGATTACATGGTGGAGGCGCCGGGTACTAACAGGAACCCGAGACGAACTAATATCAACCCACAAGCGGCCTTATAGTTGACCACCATATCCCCCCTTAGTCCATAACAACCACCCGTCCCAACCAACAGGATCGCCACATTTCTCCATCGTCTTCTGTGTCGATACTTCCAATTTGAATGATGAGTTCGCGGGGATTCACAATCAATTCACAATCCTATTTTGCACAAAAAACGGTGGTGGCACAAGAGCCCTAACGATTCGAGGCAGATCGGATGAAAATTGGATGTTTATTTATGCATAGGGCCCAGGGAGGATCTCCTGGCGTTCCGTCGAGAGAAAGGGACGCACACAGGGGGCTGACTACCGAGGTTAGGGAGCTACCGAGGGATCGCCCCCTAAACTTTGGCCTAAGCGGCTACTCCAAAATTTTTCCGCTTGGAAAAATTTAGGGATCTATAGTCTGTAACAACCACCCATTTTAAGCAATATGATCGCTCCAATTTCCCTTCGGCTTCTTTGTCTACAGTTTTATCAATCAACTCAATAATCAGTCCGCGACGGACTCGCGGATGGAGACGGTGACAATTGAAGGTTGCTATTACCTTTCCCATTACCTTTACCATTACCATTACCCTTGCCATTACCATTACCCTTGCCATTACCATTACCCTTGCCATTACCATTACCCTTGCCATTACCATTACCGTTACCATTACCATTACCATTACCATCACCATCACCATTGTCGTTTTCAGAGGCGATTTTGCGGAGTATGTCGCCGAAGGCCCCCTCGATACCTTCGAACACTTTTAACATTCCGGGCGTTGAGGCGAGTCCTATAAAGTCGATGACGTATACGTGCTTGCGTTTCCCGTGCCAGCCTTTGACCCGCTTGATGGTGACGTTTTTCTTGACGGCATCGATGACGGTGTAGGAAAGGATGGCGACCGTGTCGTGCAGTGCTATCTCTAGGACGAGTTCGTTTGGATCATGCATCCTGTCCTTGAGCAGGAGCTGCACCCCCTTCTGATTTTGCCGCGTGCAGTCTAGACACGGATCCCGCTCCCTCGCTATAGTCACCTACGGGCCCATTGTTGAAAGTTAATTACGTCATTCGTCGTGCTTCCTGCGGGTCTATTATTGAAATTTTGTGTTTGTCGGATGGATTTAGATTGCATAGGTTAAATGGCGGAGCGTGATTGGTCGGCTTTGTTTTATCGCTGCTTTGTCGTGCTTTTGCATGTCAGGTGGAATGGACGACATACTGTCAGAAACTCGATGCCTTCAGCTTGTCGTAAATTCCGCTTGAAAAAGGTACGACAACCAGCAATAAGATATAGTCGACTAATCACGCTCCGCCATTCAAGCTATGTTATCTATGCCCGCCCGACAAACGCAAAGAAATATTATATAAAATAATATTAAAGAATTATTGCTAGTTCTATAGTATCATGTGAAATATGCATATAATACACAGAATCCAACTGTAAATGGGAGAATTGGTGCCATGTTTTGGTCGATAACTTCTGAGCCCGGTGTATGCCGATTTTCGGTCACTTTTTCGATACATTTTTGATCTAAAATGGCGATGTAGAATATGTAATAATGCATATCCTCTTTGTGTACATCAGATGGCCGGGCCCCCGTGTATCGAATAAAATCGATTATGTATCGAACAAGTTACCCGGCGAGACACGGGAGTCTCGAAATTCGGGACCCGGAAAATGCATTCAAGTGGAGCCAGCTCTCCCATTTACATTACGACTCTGTGTACCTACTCTATGGAATACGTGCCATCCAGACCGACATTTTTCGGTTTGGTGAACGGAAAGTTTAGTCCTCTCCGTTCCGCTCCGGTCGTTTCTGTTCAGGAACTGAACCCTTCGTTAGCCGTAAATAAAAGATACGAATTTATGCAATCGGATACACGTTCTTCTGCAAAATTTAACGCAGAACTCGATTTGCGCAACGAACATTACTGAAACTAACACCTACATATGTTACTCGATTTATCTTGAACCTAAATTATTTAACCCTCCTGCTCATGGAAAAACCAAAGGTCTACGCGAGTTAAATCGGGTGCCTTGTTGCAGAAAGAAGAGAAAGGGATCGGAAGGAACCACTAAACTGGCCTCGGCTGCGTAGAGTTCAAGCAACCGATGAGCGCGGCATGAAACGGAAGTCCGTGGTTGGGAGGGTGGCGGGGTGTAGGAAGCCGGGCAGGGACAGGGACACTGTCCAAGTGTCCAGCCTCTGTCGGGCGGAGCGCACCAGCGTTCGACGGGCGGGCGTCGCGGCGTGGCACAGGGAGGAGCGTGGCGAAGAGAGCAGAGGGAGACTGCCTCTGGAAGCGGTCGGGGGCCCATGCAGTGCGGCTTGCGGGAGAAACATTTTTGGCGCAAATTTCTGGTACGCTATCAGCTTTATTATAATGATTTAATTAATTCCTTTCAGGAGAATTTCAACGGTTGTGTGGAGTCGCCATCTTGTTTGTTTACTTGTAACCGTAAGCGCACAGCATCATCCCATTTTTCGCGATAAATGAAAAATCAGCCCTCAAATGGTCATACTATGTCTACATAGGCACTCTTAAGAAGCGTGTATCAGAATGCTTAAACTCGTACCTTTCTAATGGTTTGATTCAGTAAAAATAAAAAAAGGAGGACGGAAAGGAAGGATCTTGGGGCGGGACCCACCTCCATCTTGGAAATATCCTTCCTGGGTTTGAGGTAGCCTTTCTTGTGGAGTTTGTACGCGGTGTTGAGGAGGCACTGGTAGCTCATCTTGTAGCGCGGGTTCTCCGGGGGGCTCCCCTTGTCGATGGTGACGTGCTTGGCGATGATCTTGATGAGGCAGAGGATGGCCGGCGCATTGTCTTGGGTCATGAGCATCCTCAAGATGAATCCCTTATACTTATCGTCCATATTCTCAGGCACCGCGTACTTCGGCGGTGGGAGGAACCTAAAGCAAGTCCCAATCCAACTCATCCAGATTACCAGAGACCAACAGGGCCCCCCATTCCTATTTTGGCAATGGTGGCAGCTTTTACATTCGGGACTCCAACATTCAACTGTTAACTTACCTACTAGGTGGATGCCTAGCAACGTGTTAAGTATTTCGTTTTGCAAACCGTTCATATTGTTTTATAGATTGGTAAACTTGTTTGCCTCATGACCCGAAGTTCATCATCCACCTAGTGGGCAACATGCATGATTGTTGCTCGCATAATATATAATTATCCGCAAGGAAGTGTTGAATCTCCAAAAGTAAAAGTTTCTACCTGTCGCCAAGAGGCCAATGAGTGAATTGACGCCAGAGACAAAGAGAGACCGTCTAGCTTATTGGCCACAGGTGGAAACTTTTATTTTCGGGGATTCGGTACTTCCGAATGAACAATTATATGAGATGATGAGCTTCGGGTGACGTCATGAACCAAACAAGTTCACTGAACATCGGTTTTTTTTGGCAATATAAAAAACTCAACACATTGCTGAGCATCCACCTAGTAGGTAGGTCAACAGTTGGATGATGGAGTCCCAGTAGTAAAAGCTTCTACCATTGCCAAGATACCAATGGAGAGTCTCTCTTTTTTCTCTAAACGTTGGAGTACGTGTATAGCGAGAGTATAGACAGGAGTGAAACTCCGAAAATCCATTAGGCCCTCACCGATGCCTCTCCGAATAAAATTAGGGTCCAAAAGGGCAGCCGACCTATGAATTCAGTGTTATTATTATAGTTGTTACGACTCGGCATTTCGACGGTGTAAGCCGGCAATCGCAAAACTCGGTTTGCGACGTCGCAGACTTCCTGTAATACTTTATTTTTTAAACGGAAAACTACTCAACCGCAATTCTATCAAACTGCAGTGATTTTTCTTCTCCGTGCGAAGAAAATTCTGCAAAAACTTCAAAAAATGATGCCAATTTGTTCTCCTTTAAAAAATAACATAGAAGCGGAGATTTTCAGACACGACAAACGAGATATGTGATTGCGGACATAGATTTGTAATGCACGTATTTGACTCAGGTTTTGCACAAACTTACTCATTTTTGCGGAAGAACGCGCATTTATGAACATTCTCGGCCATCTTGGCGTGAATTGAAATCTGAAGATTGGCAGTGAAATACTGTGTGTTAGAAGGCCAGCTACCCTTTTGAGCCCTAAAGCCCTCCATAAAGCGAGCTGTCCATACTGTCGCTGCACAGGTACTCTACGAAATGTTGTACTAACAATGTGAGTACTCACGTGAGCGGTTAGAGGGGAAATGAAGTAATCCTATTGCTTGAAACCGGTGATGGTTACAAGATAAATGGGAATGCATACGATGGCTGTCGTGATAGCAGAGAGAGCCGCCGTAACTTTCAAATTTTCGCAATCGAGTTTCTTTCAAAATTCGTCTAATCTCTATCAGATGAAACACCAAATTTGCCTTACTTATTTGTATAAAAACGAGACTTTTGAGAAAACTGTGGCTAATAGCTCAAAAGTTGACGTCGTTTTGGATGAAACATGAGGAATTATTACGCCAGAGAGCCAATGAGAGGAGTAACTTTAAGTGAAATAGTGCCCTTTTTTGCCAATTTCGAGCCTGAAAATTTGATTTTCGCACAGCCAAAACGCAATCGCTTAAGAACGATTGCCATGCCGAACACTACTAGCCTGTATTAAAAAATGAATAATACATGTTCTATGGAGTTTTATTTTATATATTTTAATCCATTTTATTTTTTTTTTTATCATATTTGTATGTATTTTCTCAAAACTTCAGTTTTACACTCACGGTTTTTTACGCTGAATGAACTAAATGATGAGCTAACTTTAGGATTTCTCGTGGATTGCCGATCGTTCGTCTGTTACTTACCTCCTTTGTCCTTTGCAACCGCCCTTTTCCATCAATAGGGACGCTCCATCGTCCCATCTTCCTCTTTGTCTATAGTTTTGTCTACAAATTTCAATAATCCTTCCCAAAGCTGCTTTATCTTGTTGCCGGAAAATCTGTCCAAACGTCGAGTTTCTATTCCGATATTAACGGGGATATTGGCTGCCGTTTTAGCTCATAGGAGCTCCCTGACCTATCCTCAAAAATTACCGACATGTCCAGATAGATAAGATACCCTCTACTGGCCTCTTGGTAACAAGTGGTTTTCATTTTCGGGGATTCAACACTTCCATGTATCGATCATGGACCTTGTAAGGGAGCAACAGACATCATACCTGCTAGGTGGATGATGAGTTTTGGGTAACGTAATAGCGCTGCCTCCATTCGTCACAATGGCGTCAAAATGGAAGCTCAAAGTGAATCAATTTCAATGATAACTGGCTCAAAGTCGGGACTTGACGCGATTGATGAGTGTTGCAACTCAAAGTAGAGCGGCGCGACTCTTTTTTGATCAATAATCGCCAACAGATCGTATTTATCGATCCACTTTAAGCTTCCATTTTGACGAGTAAACACAGGGCTAATGAGCCGAATCAGCCTGCGCCACTTCGGTGTGTCGGCGAAATGAAACACTCAACACGTTGTTCATGATCCACCTAGTATAGGTAGGTCAACAGTTGAATGTTGGAGTCCCGGAAGTAAAAGCTTCCACCATCGCCAAGATAGCAACAGAGGGTCTCTTGTCTTTGGACATGTCCGTGCTCTACCCATGTAGGTACTCTGATCAAAACACGACTCTGCGAATAGTAGAACAAAGTCATCAACTCTCTCATTGGTAAAGTTTTGCCGTGCATCAGAACTCAAAGGGATCCCCCCACCATTTTTTCCCATTGGTCAATGATGAGAGTGACAGGTACGTACCGTTCTAAGTAGGGTCGTATGTAGTTCCACTCGAGAAGAGCGCGGATACGATCCACTGTGGTCCAGTGGACCGTCGCTGCCATGAATCCGCGGAGGGCCGCGTTCCTTGCCGACGCGAGGGTCTCCTTCGACGGGACCCGGCTCCAGACCGCCCCGTAGACGGTGCTCAAGGCCGATGTGCCCATCTGCACGTATTGGTTCTTCCTAAGGGACCTCGCGCGCTTCAGTGCGGCCTCGCCCCATTGCGTCCCGGCAGTGCGCTTGTAGAGATTTCGCCCGAGGCTGTCGACTGAAGAAAGGCCTTGCTTGATCACGTTCAGGGCGCGCGTCCTCAGGCGAAGCCCCGAACGCTTTTTCCCTGAGTGCCCTTGTTTTGAAGTCGCTGTGAAGTAGGTTTCTGATTCCCTCAAAGAGTTCCCTGCATTCTTCAGTGGACTCCTCGATGGAGCCTGTTTGCCGGGGTCGCCGCCCGAACTACCCGGATGCTCTCCTTGTGCTAGTCTAATTCGTGAATACGCGGAATAAGGGGGTTGTACTGGGATGTTCCTTGTCCCTTGATTCTTCGGTGATTCCGTTATTGGAATATCCCTTATTCCCGGATTTTTTGGCGATTCCGTTATTGGAATATCCCTTGCTCCTGGATTCTTCGGTGAACTGAATGTAGAACTCGCTGAGTAGAAGGTTGCTGGACTGCTTGTAGAGGAGCGCGATTTTGGAGAGTCGGAGACGACCTTTCGTGGATTGTCCAATCCTTTTGGACTGCGAATCTCGAGGCGAGAATCTGAGCTCGTTGGAAAGTTCGTGGCTGGACTCTTGGAAAAGTTAGCTTCTTTACTATCCGTGGAGATTTTTATTGAATTTTCTGAGAGGTTCGCTCTTGGATCGTTCGAGTAGTTAGTTCTTGAGTTCTTAAAGAAGTTCACTCCTACGTTCTCTGAAAGGGCAGCTCCTGTACTCTTGCGAGAGTGTTTTCTCGGATTCTCCAAGCCTGAAAGCCTAGTTGTTTTGCTCGAGTTAGTACCTGCATTCTCAGTGACGGTCGTTTCGCGACTCGTCTTATTCTTAGTTCTTGAACTTCCTGAGCTTTTAGCCCCTGAACATTCTGGAAGGTTAGCTCTTGTACTCTCTGAAGAATATTTTGTTCCTGAATTCTCTGCAAAGTTCGTTCCTGGAATCCCTGTAGAGTTAACTTTTGGTTCCCGCACGATGTTAGCTTTTAGGCTTGCTGGAAAATAAGTTTCTTTATCATTTAATGTGTTCGTAATTGGCACTTCCTTTGTTTCTGGACTCTTCGTTGGCCCAGCTCTTGAATTCCCTGAAAAATTTGATCGTGGACTCTTTGAAAAAGTTGCCTCTACTATCTTCTTATATTTACTTGCTGAACTCTGTGAAAAGTCAGCTTCTAAAGTATGTGATACGGTAGTTTTTGAACTCTCTGGAAACGCAGTCTTTAAACTCTCTGCGGAGTTAACTTTTGGCATATCTAAGAATTGAACTTCTAAACTCTCTGATAATTCGTTATCTGAGCTCTCTACATATCTAGTATCACTACCCTCTGCCAAGTTAGTTCTCGAAATCTGCGACAAATTGGCTTTTTGACTCATCAGAATGGTAGTTTTTGAACTTCCAAAAAATTCAGTCTCTGGTCGCACGTTGAGTATAAAGTAGCCTGTCCGAGTAGTTGTCGATTTTTGCGTTCGATGGCTCGACTTTTGGGCTGTAAATAAGCTTGACTTTTTGATATCCGAAAAGCTTGAATCCTCAGTCGCCTTCGGTGGTAATTCAAGCTCAGGTTCAAAGATTTTCCCTTTATTCTGATTTAACAAGAGAGAACGCTTAGAGCGATGAATAACTGTCATTTTTAATTGTTTATTTAGAGGGATATATCTTCCCGCGGGGTGTTTCTCTTTAAGACTAATCGATAATGATTGAGAAACCTGATCGAAGTCACTCGTAGTAGTATCCTGTAGTTGATTTGCGTCTACGAGCTTCTTCCTTCTTTCCCGTTTCGTCTTTTGAGCGGTTTTCAGAGGAAGGGGGTACGCAACTTGTTGATTGTGACATTTTTCATCAGGGATAGCGTGGATAGTAGCACTTGCGTTGTCTTGTTCGTCTTCATTTATAACCAACACTTCCGA